AGCTGCCGCAGCTGTTTCCGCCGCAGCTGCGCCCACTCCCCCTCCTCACCCTTCGCCCTCCTCCTCCTCTACCAGGCCGTTCTCGGTCATGGTGCGCGGCATTCGTGGGTGAAAGTGTGTGCAGCGCGATCCTCGAGTTTTATCAAGTGAACACACACACCCACACCTACACCTACACGCACGTATTTCTTCATCACGATGAGACGCATGTAGAGCGGTCGGGTCGAGCGGTGTGGCCACCACGTGTGTCAGGTCAGGGGCCGTGAACGCACGCACCGGTCAGACAGGTGGCGTGGCGTAGCAGTAGCAGTGCCGTCAAAATAGAGGCGTGGTGAGGTGGAGGAGGAGGATTCGCCCGAAGTAGTGGAATGCTGATCGCACACCTGGTGCTCTCTACGCGGCCAGCAGGCGCGGGAAAAAAACAAAAAACAAATGACCAGCTGGAGCGAAAACTCATGGAAAAGCTGCGGTAGAAAACTGGAAAGCCGCTCAGGGGGATAAGACTGCTGCCCGCAGTAAACAGCTCTCGGGCTCGCTCGCGGCGCGCGTTCTTATTTCATCCTCCCGCAGGACCGGGAGGAGGACCGCGGCCGCTGCATTTTTCATACCGTCCCGCTTCGCAAGTGCTTCAGCTGCCGTTTCTCCAGGCGGCTCCAGGCGGGCTGGCTCCAGGGCCTTGCCGGGCCGGGCCGGGCCCGCAGGGGCGGGGAGGAAGTGAAGCCGTGTGTTCGTGAGGAGAGAGCGCGGCGTGGCGCGGCGCGGAGCGGCCGAGAGCATCAAAGTCAAACGAGATGTGATCTCCATATTCCAACGACAATAATTCTCGAGGAGGGGTTTCACGTCTCCTCCTGCGCGCTCCCTTCGCTTCCCTCGCCCGCCGCCGCCGCCGCGCTTGGGCTTTCAAACCTCGAGTAACGAGCGCGCGGCAAAGCGCTTGCTTCAGGAGAAAGAAGCTGCAGCTGCAGCACACCAAAGGAACGCATTATTCGGAAAACATTTTCTTGGGCAGGCGCGCGTCTCATCGCTTCCCTTTCTCCTCTACAGAGCTCTCCTTCCACGGAGGACTTCCAAACAAGCGAGTGGTGTGGCGGGGCGCGGGGCGTGCATGAGACGTCTCTGCCGCCTGACGGATGGACGGGAGCCGCAGCAGAGTTCGCTTGCAGCCCCGGCTGTAATGTAGGCCAGGGCGGCATCGTTACGTAACGGAGGAGAGAGGGGGGGGGGTGCCGCGACCTTGTCGGCGCGCGGAGAGGATGCCACCCCCTCCTCCCCCACCCCCCTTTTTCC